AAAAAAAAAATCAAAAAAAAATCAATATAGTATTTATATAGCTCTTCTTAAGAGATTTTCTTCAAGGAATTGGCAGTAGTCAGAAAAGTCTCAAGAGGCACATTGGTTGCTGTAATCCTGAGGAAATAAATAATAATAGCACACACACATATTTGTAGTAGAAATAGTATCAGCATTATTTATAATGGTAGTATTAGTAGTAGTATTAGTGATAATAATATCGATAGTCTTTGGACATTATGAATTTAACAGAGAAAGAACTTTTTTTTCTGTTCTAGTTTGAGGATGACTACTTTTTAGCCAGTTTGTCAACTAGCCTCACCTAACTGTCAACAGTGTTTGGACTGTAAATCTGGTTACCATCAATCTCAAATTCTACCACCAAACTATCATGTTGTTTCAACAAAAAATAAATAAATAAATAAATAAAAACTAAAAACACACTACAGATACTTGTGTGATATTAAGGGACACAGAATTGAAATACAATTTATTCTCAAGAGGTCTTTGCCATTTGCTCTGGAGTTATACTACATTTTGGTATTTTCCTAGCAAGAAAAATATTTTCAAAAAACATTTCATTCATTCTCACATGTCTCTTGCATAAAAATTCACATTTTACATTGCAATCATTTTTTTTATATTTATAAATAAATGTCTTATTGTACACAGGAAATAAGTTGAAGCTACAAAATAAGAGAAAACAAGGAAGTTACTCTCTCTTACCAAATGACATCTCTATAATTTAATTTACAACAAATTCTTTCATTAAATATTCTACACTACAAAAACAGATTTTATTATGAAGATAAATTGGTAAAGGAAAATGACAGTTGTTTAGCTTAATTAAGGCAGTGTGCTGATTTATTCAATATAAGATACAATTATATTATGATGAATATAATAATTATCAAAATTTGCTAATTCATCTAAAGGTGGAAGATGATATTTAAAGTTTATAGAAGACATCAGTACTGTTGTCAGCTAATACAACAGAACAAAAGGAAAATAGTTATATAGAATATTATCTTTATTTTACTTTTAACATAAATAAATACGCAGGTTTGTTTTTTTATTTGTTTTTTTTTTTAAAAGGTCTTCTCTGAAAGTAGATTTTATATCTTTAAAACTAAAAATCAAAAGGAGACACAAGCTGAGATGTGGTTGCTGCTTTAGGCATTTGCTGAAGTCATGATTATGATGCAATGACATAATATTTATAAGTGAAATCATAATCCAAATTGTTTCAAAAAACAAAGTACAGGTAAAATCTAGAATATATAGATTAAAGCAAATTATTCCTTGTTTACTTTTTATTTAAGATTCTTTTTTATATGGCATAAAAAACAAAGAACGAGAAACTGACAAATTTTATTCTAAACAGTTAAGATTAACACCCAAACTACTTTCTTATAACAGTTTATAAATGAGGCCAGTTGCTATTATAAATCAAAAGTACAATGGCAAAGGAAATAAATAAATAAAATTTACAAACGATATACATGAAAAGCTTAAAATTCTTAAAAACAAATAAACATGTATTATACAATAAGTTAAAATCTCTAATTTCAGAATTAATGCAATACAATGTGGAAAACCAAGAGAAATCAATTGAAAAACAAATCTTGTTGCTCTAAAGTAAATCAAAAATATTTTCACTATATATATATATATGTTTATAACAGATTTGGAATTGAGTATCAAATCATTAATAAATAGATGAATATGCATCATTTAAATGACTGAAATTAAGTTTATTTCTCTGAAAGTATTTAGTATAAAAATATTAACTAAATTACACATTACATTGTGTCATAGAGATCTAAATGAACAAAAAAAAACAACAAAAAAAAACACAGAAAATGTGCATAATATTCTTTAAATAACTACAATGAATTATAAATTATATATTTTGTAACCTGATCAAAATGCAGCATAAAAGTTGGGGTCCAGACACAGTTTAGGCATTTCTGCATTTTAAAAAAAAAATTATTTAAAATAAAGAAAAGCAATTCAGCAAGAGATGACCTGATAAAACAAAACTGATTACCTATAAGAAATATATTTCACAAATAAAGCTAACAATACCTTTTGTGTTCAAGCAAAAAGATTTATCCCATGATAATCTGAACACGTTAACAGAATTACACAACCCAAAATATTATATTTTACATCTAACAAAATAGGAAGAGATAGCTGACATTAGAAAAAAATGGTCCATACACAAATGGACAAGATTATATTTAGGGATTAATCAAGTATTAGTTCAAAGAAAGCTATGTATTCCTATTAATAATTACAAATAAATTCCGTTATTGTTAAAAGAGCAAGAATAAGCATGTTTATTATCATGTACACAGTTGATAAATTCTGTATTAGAACTGAATGGTAACTGCTTGAATAAGAATTGATAAAAAGAAAAATGAATAAGACAGAGAGAATGATATATATATATTTCAGTTTTTAAAACAAAAAAATAAAGCTTTACCATAATTATATGTAATTATTACTTGGAATTACTATTCTTTTTCCTTGAGTTGTTTAACAATAACAAGTTGACAATTATCTGAAACAGAATTAAACTCTTATCAATAAATCAATTTTACCAGATAGTTTGCATATCTAATGTACATTCTTCATTAATAGTTAAAATGTTAGACATTATTTTTAAAATGCTTTCCTCAAGTACTACTTAGAGCTAAAAACTGTCATCATAAAGGTTTCATATTAGCAAAATCTTAAGAACTTAGCAAGAAATATGAAAAAAAAAAGGACTCAAATAAATGCATCTTAATTTGTAATCAGTTTTGCACGAATGACTCAATATGCACTTGTCTTAATTGATAATAAAGTCTATTAATATGAATATTATTATTCAAGATATTAAATGGTATTCAATTAGTATAGGAGATATACAGAATATTTAATATGGAAGCTTTATGGATATTTTTAACAGTAAAAGCCAAGTATAATTAAAAAAGAAAAGAAAATCAATATAAGCCCAGGAGTAAAATTTGTTAAATAGTAAGTCTGTGATTAATGATGATGAAGCACAGATATTGATTACTCTTTTATTAATAACTTACTATTTTCTAAATATTTGACATATTTAAGATGGAATAAAAATTACAAATTAAGCTTTATTTAACAAAGATAAATATGATTGAAAACAAAATGACAGGAATCTAACAATGAACAAAGACATCTGGAAATACTTGTAAATTCCCAAATACTAAATAACATTTCTTCTTTATATTACAATGCCAAGAAACAACCATATAAAAATGCTGTGTGTGTCTCCAAATGCAGCACACCACTCAAATTCTCATTTAGTCATTCAAGCAGAATTACAGGACAAAGGAAAAATTAATAAATTTAAATGCATGAGTTTGTGCTGTTTCCAAATAATTTATTACTTTTCATCAACCTTTAGAAATAATTTGATAGAAACATCACTACCAACTAATGCATATCACTTTTCTTTGAAACAAAGATAATCTAATAATCAAAATTTGCAAAATTTGGACATTTTTCTTTAATAGTAAAAGAGTGAAAGGACAATTTTTAGTTCATTCTATGTATTACCCAGGATCCCTGTGTTTCACTTCCTTCTACTTAAAAAAAAAAAAAAAAAAAAAAAGACAATCAAAAAATGGTAGGAGAAAAATGAAAATAAAATAAATGGCGGGAGAAAAATGAAATATAAATAAACAGATTTAAATTAATTTGTATGTATTTATTTTGCACTTAGTCCACATCTTTCTAAAAGAATTCTTCATAAGATTCCTTAAAAGGAACATAAGAAAGAAAGAATATATTAGGGTTTTATAGGGCTTAAATGAACCTCTCAAAAAACAAATATTATTATATATAAATAATTTTGGGAGGAGTTGCTCCACTTAAATTTTTAATACATACTTAGTAGAACTAAGGAAAACATTGGAGAAAAATAAAGGATTTTTAATTTATCTATTTTACAATTTAAGTTTTTTTCCTACTTTTCTCTGATTTTAGAAGCACAGATTTGCCCAATCCCCTGTGAGAACTTTGTGTGCATGTAAATATCTAATTATATGCAACAAATATGAGCCAGGCTTACACACAACCTCTTGACAATAGATGCATGCTATATACAGAAAAAAGGTAGTTTGTCCCAGCCTAACACACAATATAGTAGTGTGTGAATGTGTATGTATGTATATGTATGTGTGAGAATGTGTTCATCATGTGTATGTTTATACAAGCAGGATACATTCATCTACCAAATGAGTCAAAAGTCTCCCTGAATAATAACATCTACAAAAGACAAAACAAAAAATACAACAGATAAATTTAAGAAAAAAAAAAGTCAATTCTTGGTTCCTAGCAACAACAACAACACAAAAGCCAAAGTTTGGAACAATATGTGTGTGTGTGTGTGTGTGTGTGTGTGTGTGTGTGTGTGTGTGTGTGTGTGTGGAATTATCAGGAGACGGCTCAGTCATATATTTTTTTAAAGCTCTCTAGACAGGTACGTGGTAGATTGGTGGTAGAAAACTGAAATCAAGAGAACAGTTTTAGGGCTTTTTTTCCTTTAAGTTTGTTATTGTTTCTCACCAGTGTGAATGGACAGAATGGAAATCAGGGAATTTTCAGAGCCTGTGTATTGAATACCATACTCTTTACTGACTGACTAAAAGGGGTGAAGTGTAGTACTTGGATGTTAAGTTTTTGCTGGTGACCAAATGACAGGGAACACATTACACCAGTTCCTGGCCAATGCCACCACAGCAGGCAGGCAGGCAGGCAGATGCCATAAGTGATTGTATCACAAAACAGCTTTGTGGTCATCTTTGTCAACATCACAGTCATCAGTAGTGTCCATGCCACCACAATTATCAATATCACCACACCACCACCATGAGGAGAAGTTGATTTTAATGCTGCCACCAAGCACCATCAAGGCAGCAGCTATCTAGCTACTGTTGGTTTAAATGATGAGCAGCTAACATTGTTTTTCTTCACAAATAATGTGGAGTTTCTTGACCAGTCAATAATCTAAAGATTGAGGTGGGCATGGTTTTCATGTGAATCTGCAAAAATAGAGAAAGATCAAAAAAAATCATTGCCAAATTTGTGATGAAATAAATTAGACATATCTCATATACTTGAACATTAATATTGAACAGTAATACACATGCCACCATACATTTATAATAACATGTACAAAAGACAAAACAAAAATTTATAAATATTTTTATAAACAGAATCTTTTTTAATGTACTTTAACCTTAAAAAAAGATTCTATTTATAAAAGGTGATTAAAATTAGCTTATAAAACATCATAACTTTGCAAACAAGTCAACTTATGCTAAGATTTGAATATTCTTTGCTTAAAACTGGACTTTTATGATGCTCAAAGAATATTAGACTTTTCTTTCACACTTTTATAGAAACAGTCATAAACATACTAAACTTTTGTTTACAACAGCATCTTTCTGATAATGAGTGCTGTTAGTATCCATTCACTCACTTTACTCAATTTATTATCTTAGCAAAAATATCAGAAACAGATTTTGTAGTCATTGTGGATAATCACAAATGTTTCTGCAAAGAAAGTTTTAACCAGAAGTTATTTTACCAAGGACTGTTGCTTTTCACCTTTCAAGCATTGTCTAAGGAGGAGTCTTTTTCTTTCTAGATTCTATTTATCTGTCAGTTTATTCTTTGTTTCCTTTTGTAGCTAAGAGTTATTATATCATTATTTATGTTCTTTGTTTCAGGTTTAATTTTCAATCTCATGTAGTAAAGCTAATGACTACAGGACAGTCTTTAATAGGAAACAGAATAGGAATTCTGACTGTTGAGCTTCCCATATAAACTGGGCTGAAATAGTAAAAATCCTTACCAACTACCAATCAATGATGTTTACATCAATAGTAACAGTGAGATGTTTCTTAACTAGCATAAATTGAACAAATATACATATGCCGTAAGTAATGCGTTTTCAAAAAAAATATGAAAATATAAAGGAAATTATTATTAGAAAAGTATGAGGTTGTTGCAAATTTCCCAGTACCACCTTTTGTATAATATTAGAAAAATGTATGAAGTATCTTTGAGTAATCAGTGCTTTATTGCTCAGCTGAGTCTTTTATGAACCTTAAGATTTTTTTTTTTTTTTTAACACAGAAAAAGTTATTTTTGAATGAAGCAATCACTGGTGATGAAAAGTTACTGAACAATGCCACACAGAGCAATTGGTTCACTTGAATGACACATTGAAAGAAGAGAGACATTTTTCTGGGTAAATAAATCATTTAGTGACTTTGGGACATGACAATGCTCATCCTCATGTAGCAAATATCATGCAGTCTATAATCATGGAGCTTAAAAAATAGTTCTACTTGCAACATTCTGCTGACATCTTCAGACTCACTTGTTTGGCTCTATACAACACTCTTTGTCCGATAGTGAAAAATTCTGTGCAAAATTCAAAAACTTGAATTATTCTTTTATGATGGAATACATAATTTACTTGAAAAGTGGTGTAAAGCCATCAAAATACAAGTTTAGGGATACTATAATGTTTTGTATCAACCTCATAAATGAATATATAACTAAAAAAAAAATTCAACACTGCCCTTAGGAATTATTAGTTTTATTAACAAGAATAACTCTGGGTAATAAATAAACATTGTTACTTACTTCTCCGACCGAGTTGGCCAGCAAGGCAACTATCTTTTCATGCTGCACAGCCACCACGCTCTGGTTGTTAATCTCAATGATACGATGACCTACACGCACTCCACCACGTTCAGCAATGCCACCACGCAATAAACTGCAAATCTTCAAGATAAAATACAAAAATTCTATGACATAATTTCCTTGATTTATACATTACATTAGCTATTAGTTGTTCATGTGTAGTGAGATATGTTTATTATATACAGGGTGCAGCAAAAACACCTCCCAAATAATGGTAAGGGAAAATTACTAGGAAAAAATGTTACGCATTACAGTCTTAATATATACAAATACCCTTGGCATATACAGTAGATTGATTTGGTTCTAATTTTAGTATATAGTCCTTTGCTGACATTTTTCCTCAAAACTATTTTGTCTTCAGTCAATAAGATTTGAATAGTAAATACAGTTCTTTCTAAGTTCTAATTATTATACACAAACAAAAAATATTACAAATTTATGAAATATCTGATTCAGGCATAAAACAATGTTTGTTCAAACAATTGTTAATCCATTTAACACATTAGTCTATTTACTAACAGGTAAAATTTTCTGCACCAAAAAACTTTAAAACTATATTGAATTTACAACATTATAAAGAAGTTTACAAGCTTTATGTGCTCTAGGAAAGGTCTAATGTAGACTTTTACTTACTACACCATTCTGCACACTGAAGCCAAGTTGATATTTCACATCTGGTCGCTTAATAAGGACTTCTACCACAGGAGGACAAGGCACAACAGTAAGTTTCACCACAGTCTGCTGTCTGGCACCCTATAAGAAATAAAAGCCAATATTTATAAATCAATGTAAGGATGATCAATACATAAGAGAACAATGATACAAAGTAAAATGAATTATTTTTTTTATTAAAAGTGTTCATAAATGTATTTTAATGATAATTTATATTTTCAGATATTTTGAGTAGTAACAAAAACAAAGTTAGCACTACCTGAAATAACAAAGCTAATATTTCTGGTCTCCAGACATACTAAAATATGATATAATAATTATGATAGGTATTTAAAATAACCATATTGGCTAGAAAGCTTATCAATACAAGAGAATCATTATGGAAACAGGGAACCAAAAATTGTCATTGTTACAAAAATTGTCATTGTTACAAACATTAATCATTTCATTTTCAGATAATGATAATATTCTTTGTATAAAGAGGAGGCTTTGGTACATTTAATAGTGATTTGTTTCATTTGCCTCACAACTTCTTGTAATCTATGTTGTTTTCAAGTATCTACTTTTCATCACCCATTACAATTTGCTTGAAGCAATAGAGATGTTTTTTTTATGTTTAGGCAAGGAATCTCTCATGAAAATAAGGTTCTTTAGCTTTTGTTTCACTTACATGAAATTCACACATCAATGCAAATGACCAAGATGGTGCCAGTATTTTGGTTATCACTGGCATCATATTATCTTGGTTATTCTCAATGCCATCATTTGATTCCTAACATCTACAACTTGTCTACCTAACCACACAGCATAAATCTTCACAAACAATTTTTGACATGTTTGATTTGGTTTGGTTTGTTTTACGGCATATGGGTTATTTAATGCTGACAATTTTTTTTCCCAAAAAATGTATAGCTGGTAATAATTTTTACAAAGTATTTCTGTTATTAAAACCTATTTTTACACTTTCATAGTAAGTATTGCTGGTAATGTTTTCTTCCCTTCAAAAATCTATTTCTGGTAATTTTTTTCAAAAAAAAAAAAAAATCTATTGCAGGTAATATTTTTAAAAAAAAAATTGTATTGCTGGTAATAATTCTTCCTTCACAAAAACATTGCTAGTAATAATTTTTCCTGCAAAAATGTATCTCCGATAATAATTTTTCCTTCAAAACTATATTGATGGTAATAGCTCTTCAAAAAAGTATTTTTGGTAATAATTTTTCCCTCAAAAAAAGTATTGCTGGTATTAATACCTATTTTTACACCTCCACAGCATTTTGACCCCTATTTGGGGGTCAACTATTTGCACATAGCTGGGACCCTAACAGGTGCTACCACCCCAGATCAGGGTGAACCTGGGAACACCAGCAATTAATAGGTAGTTCCACGCTCCTCAAAACCTCCTGATCAGAGGCCTTGCTGTTGAACGTAGTTTATTGTCTTACCCAGGACGCCTCATTTGGAGGGGGAGGGTCTTATCCCTCTGCAGGGGTGAAGTTGGTGTATTCTGAAGCTCCAGCGGACAGAGTCATTGACATGTTTAATGATTCACAATAATTTCATGTTTGAATTGCATTTGTACATATTAAAAAAACAATCATAAGATGCTCAAAATTTTACTTATATTCTTCTATATTCAAAGTTAGGATCATTAAATGAAAATTTGAAAAATTCATATTGTCATAATGCAATTTTAATGCAATCACTATCATGATGGCCACCGATTAAAATTGATGAAACAGTTTTTTCTTCATTTCTATCTGTATTTAGTATTTGTTTTTACAACAACAAAACCTGAAGATGAAAATCAATTTGAAAGAATAGCCAGGTGAGTAGCCATTTTATCAGAGTCAGACTTTCATTTGGGTCAACACCTGTGTTTTGGATACAGGCAACTCAATTTAAAGATGAAGATTTATTGAATTTTTCCTAATATTCAAGCACAGAAAATTATTTTAATAATCACTTTATTTCTATTTGAAATTTCAAAAGGAACTAGTCCAAACTGACAAAATGCAAGATTAGAATAACCATGGCTGAAAGGAGTGTTTCCTTATTCATTATATCAACTGAGCAGGTGTCACTCTTTAATAAAATAAAAAAATTCTTATGATTCTTCAATTTTATGATATTAAACAAAAGACCTATAGTGAATGTTATAAATTTAATCAGAAAGAGGATCATAGATTTCTTAGCTGACTTATATTAATATATTGCTTGAAATTACAGCAATAGAACAGATTTAAAAAATACAATAATGAAACATAAAAAAATGAATAGAGGTTACCTTTATATAAGTTTGACATGTTGACAGTGGTAGGCCCACCATACTGACCCCGTTGATAGAGATGATCTGGTCCCCAATGTTGAGCCCGCCACACCTGGCTGCTGGGCCTGATGGGGCCATATTGGCAAGGACGACAGTAGGTACCATAGAGCCCCAGCCAGACTCCACTATCACAATACCTATAGGTTCTCCTTTTAATTTGGGAACAATCACCTAAAAAAATATTAGGAATAAAAAAAATGATCCTTTGAAAATATAGACATCATTATATATTTAAACCATCTGACATATATTGCATGCTTTTTTGTGTAATATTTATTTACTTTTTTTTTAAGTTTTCAACATTGTTGTTGTTTTTGTTTTCAACATTTTCACAGAAATGTTTTCTTCTCATAATATACAAGTTGTAGTGTAAGGCCAAAGAAATTTTCCTACTTCCTAACTAACATCATACAATTTAATAAATCTACTTTTCTAAGAGGTGCAACTTTATTTTCAAAGTTATTTTCTAATTAGAAGTTCAATACAAATGGCTATGAAATGGAAGGAATAAAATGCAAACTACAAATATTTGATTTCAACCAATTTTTGTTAATAAAAACTTTCTTGATCATAATTAAATGTAAAGATTTAGATATGTTATCATTGTCTAATTTGGTTACTTTCAGTGATTTAGTAATACTTAATGCTACTTTTCTACTGTTTTTCAAAATCTACATCATTCTCAGACTGGAGAGACAGGAAGAGGTATAATATAGTGAATATAATTTATATTTTTTAACAGATATCCAATCATCTGCACACACCCAATGAATTGACAGAAAGTGGACAAAGCAAAGATCCTCACAAAATATAATTCCTATATAAAATTTCAACAATTCAAATTATTAGTGATTTTCTTAGCATCTATACATAAAAATTATTTCAAATTAAAAGTATTTTTTCTTCTTTATACTATAAGAGCATTGAAAAATACAACTATTATTGACAAAGAATTTAATCCAGAATGTAATGAAATCAATTATCAAGAGTTTAAGAAAAAACTAATTAATCAGAAATGTGCATTCAATAAAAAATAACAGCTGGGATATTGAGTGAATCCAGTTATCAAGAAGAAACAACATGCTGCACTTTGGGACAGTTAGCAAGTTAGTTTGGTTGACAAATACTACTGAGTAGTGAGTTCAATCCTAACTGAATGCCCCATACTTGTATCCATATGCCAAAACTAAGCTAAACTTAATAAATAACATAATTGGAGTAAATTCTTTCTAGACGTTACATTTTATTTACAATACAGTCATCCATTTTAAATTAAAAAAAATAATTCCAAGCTTAAACACAATTACATGATTGCTTTACTTTAGATTCTATTTCATTAAAAATGAAGGCTCTTATTAAGAGTATAGAAGAAATATGACACTTCAAATAAGTTATTTTTAGTTTTGTAATAATCAGATAACTTATTGGCCATCAATCATTATTTATTTTTCATTACATTGAAAACATTAAACACTTTAATCTTATGGTTCATGAAGATTCTTACAATAAAATATAGAAAAAGATTTCTGAAAATAGTAAAACAGTCAATACCAAATTTCATGACCATAACCAGAATCATTTTGATTAAAAATTAATAATTTTTATAATCATAAAAATTCAGACATAGCAATCTCTTAAATTTTTTTAATCAAAACATAATGTCAATCATCATCTTGTCTTTTTGAATCCTGTTCTTTTATCGTCTTCTCTCTTTAATAATGTATTTTTTCTTCAGGCCTCAATAAATATACAATAGTACAAAATGTATGTATGTTACATTTATCAATAGTCTTGATTAAAATCTATTTTGCACCCCACTTATAAAAACAAGATATTTTGAGAAACAGATATATTTATTATCAGTGAAGAAAACAAACCTCTCTATGGAAATCTTTATTGGTAAAGAGATTAAGTTCTTCTCCCATGATTTCCTGCTGGTTTAGCACATCCTGGTAGTCCATTTCCTTGATGATGCCGGGGTCATCAATGCCATTGGCCTTCAGGAACTCCATGTAAGCAACCTGGAATGCCTGGCCTATAGACTGGGCTATCAACTGGGCCTACAAAAAAGTTATTTAATATTTCTAATTACAACTTATAATAATTCCACTTATATAGTGATATTAATTTCAATAGAAATATATAAAACAGATAACATAAATTTTATATTTAAGAACATTCACCAGAACAGGAGGTAGGAATAAAGAAAACACTTACCATTTATGAAATCAGTAATTATGTATATTTAAAACAATCACAAATAAATCCTTGAAAAGAGGCTATCATGTATATTTTATTTAAATGAGTAGTTTAAATTTCATATTTCAAAATAAATTTAATAATTTAGATGTACTCAATATGTACTTGGCAACATAATTTGCACCCAGGGAACTAATTTTAAATCAGTTAATATTACTTTTGATAAAAAGATCACTGTTTTTTAATGCTGAATGAATGCCAAATAATTTCTGCAAGAAGTAAATGCATAAAATTTATGAGAAATTTATTCATCATGATCAATACCCAAGTTTACATCTTTTTTAAAGAAATTTCTAAGTAGAATAAAAAAATAAAGGCAATTAAAATATGTATGCATATAAATATTAGTTTTTAGAAATCACATCCATCACATAATTTGTTTGATTTGCAAGAGGTTTCAGTTTCTTGCATTGAAATTTCTTCCCACATTGCTTACTTACATTAAGTTCTTTTCATTGTTTCTGTTCATGTTTCTATCATACACAGATATAACATACTAAATAATTATAGAGATAATAACAATAATATAAAATTTAAACAGTCCCTCTTTGATATTTTATTTTAATAGAGGAGAGCTTCAAAACAGTGTATAATGTCCAAAAGTGAATAGCAGAATTGAAAAATCAAATAGAGATATTACAAGTTCCTTATGAAACTAACATTTTCAATTAGCCACATTGACCTGATCATGCTAATTCTTATTCTCCTTGATATTACATTTTTTTCATAAAATATTAGAGCATAATATATTTGTAATCATTTTCATATTTGAATATTCCTAATTGCTAAATGAAAGTTTGGCCTAGTTATGACAAAGAGAAATCATAATCATTATTAAGATTTTTCATATACAAAGTTGCATATTTAATCAATGTATTTATGTTATTCACTACAGTTTTAGCTGCTTAGGATTTCATTTGTGAAACTATGATTTGTAACTGAAATGATTTCTAAATAATTTAAAACTTAATGATACTATATAGGTACCTTCATGAGATCACTAAAAAGAGTATAACTTGATGAAAACAAAACTCTAAATGTTTGTTATTTTTAAGAGGAAAAATCAAAGTATTTTGGGTGTATTTTTTTATATTTTTTTTAATCGTTCCTAGCACATGCAAAATTTTCGTTAAAAATCTTGTTTTTTAGTCAGCAAAATTGGCAGATAATTGATAATGTCAGCCATTTTTTTCCAATTTATAAAAAAAATGATAATCTCAGTTTGAAATTCTTTTAAAAATCAATAAGTTTTTCAAAACTTATTTTAAGAAAATCAGAAATTATAATGTTTATTTAAAATATTTTGAACCAAGCTTAACTTAGTTTGAAAATAAAACAAAGCAGGTCATAACCTTTTGTGTCACTTGACAAGGTGACTAAAGACATTCATGGTGTTTTGATAGATTACTTGAGGATAATTACTTCTATGGAAGGAGAGATGTGAAGTTATTTAGATTTAAGTGAACAAATTATTTACCTCATTATTTTTAGGAAAACTTTCAGCACTCTAATTTTTTTATTTTTTTGTACTTAGCTTTAACCTTTACATTTATGATGCTTTATGGAAAATATATTATAAAGAAATTAAAATAAGACTGTTGAGAGTGAGATTAAATTTCATAAGAAAGGCATCTAATTAGTTTATAGTTACCTTTCTTATTGAATTTTATCAGAAGTGTACATAAAATACAAATTTAAATTTCATGAGATAATGATACTTGTAGGTACCCTTCTCAGTTGAAATTGAAAAATCAAATTAACTTCACACATGTTTCGCAAAAATAAATCTATATCTCAAAAGGACATTTACGAAACTAAATGCAGCTTTTAACTAATTTTATAATATTTTAACAACTTAAATGTAAAGATATATTATAATTAAAGAAATAACAAATAATTGTATTAAAAATTCAGTATTTAAGTTAAATACTGGACAGAAACTCAATTCACATGACGTTTTCTTTATTGCACGCATGATATATCTGGTCTTCCGTAGATTTGATTTACAGTGTTATTATTGACACAAATTATATTTTTCATATACTGTTGTTCATTAGTTTGTAAGAAGCTTTGGAAATTATAATCTGTAAATATATATCTACTTAATAACAACATTCATTAAATTTTACAAACTTTTCCCTAATTTTAGAAGAATTAACAACATAATGTAAAAATAATAAAATATTTCAGAAATAACAAATAATTGTTTTAAAAATCCATTTTTCATCAAAATATCTTTTTGCTTTCAGACAATATTATCCATGTTCATTAAAATAAATAAAAGCAATTAAAAGCTTTTAAAATTAAATAATATTTTTGTTTTATTGAGTTTTATATGTTACAATCCACTTGCAAAAAAAGACTAAAAATAATGGAAGCTCTAATAATAAAAAAAAAAAGCCAACTCTTAACAATATTAACTATGAACAAAGCCACAATGTACTAACCGTATTCGAAACTAAAAACATCACTACCACACTGAACATACACAGAAACACACACTCTAATAAGCTGATATTGAATCATCCTTGATAATGGCTAAAGATATAGCCGAAAAGCTCGGAAATACAGAACATTCGGACAGTTCTCACACACTCTTTGTCCAGAAAAGAAAGCTCTTGTCAGAACACAAGAAAAATTAAATAAAAGCTCAACCATAGTACCTTGTCTGTCGTTTTTAATGAAACATTCATAAAGGAAGGATTGCTGCCTAAATATACAAATATATATATATATATATATATATGCACACACAGAGAGGGCTTTATGGCTCGCTCCTTTTTACTGGAGCAAACAAAAAAAGGGCTCATTTTACAACATTCAACGGGAGTGAAGCGTGAGCAGCTCTTTTGGGACTAAAGAGTGGTTTTTGTGCTCTGTGCTTCAAAATTATTTAAATTTTTTTTAAACATTATTATATTCACCAATAAAAAAGGAAAGAAAGGAAAATCTGAGCTAAACTTAAATCTGAGTTATTTTTTATCTGTGACAAATGTATGAGAGAGTATGTGAGAAAGTGTGTGTGTTAGTTACACATGAAAATGGAAACTATTTCAACGGGGGGGTAAAGAGGCAAGTGACTTGACACCTAGGTGTTACCGTTCTGATGTCCCAGGGGGTCAGGCATTTCTTTTAAGTTGTAAGAGACAGTATGAAAAAAAAAATGCCTTCAAAAGAGTTAGTCACTCTAGAAAGTCTTTGATATAATTTTTTTAGATATATATATATATATATATATATATATATATATATATATGTGTGTGTGTGGTGTCAGTGAGAGAGAGAGAGTATAAAAGCTGTCTGTAGATACTGTGTGAGGGAAAGAAAGGTTTGAACTTTTTTTGTTTTTATGACAAATTTTCATTGCTGAATAAATAAATAAACCAATATTTTCTTTTTAATTTATTGACAATTTACTCTTGTATACAATTTTGTCATCATTATTTAAAGAAAGTTATTAAAAAATAAATTAAATCTTTACTACAGCTAAAAGATTCCATTGAATTTTCTCACTTATTTACCTTGATATTCATCCAAATGTTGAAAATTGATTCTTGGTCTGAAATGATACTTTTTGTCCGGAAATAAAATTCTAATTTACTTTTTATTTTAACATATATAAATTAGAAAGACCAAAGTAATTTTTAATTATTTTAAAAAAATTTTTTAATCCTTTCTAGCACATTTGAATTTTGGTTAAAAATCTTTTTTTTTTTTTAGGTTATCGGTACGGGTAATGTAATATTTAGCATTATTTTTTTTTTTTTTTTGGCATGTAAGTGAATAATGAACACAACAGGAATTGGAATTCAGCTCTCCATTTTCCTTTTTTTTTTTCTGAGCTGCTGTCCATTACACTACCGGTAAATCCAAGTAGTGACCGGTTTTGATGTTGCTTAACTTTGTTGAACATACAAGAACCAATGTTTCAATGTGATATAGCCATAAGCCTAATTTCCGAAAGAAAAATCACATGTATTGCATTATACAGTGTAACCCGGATATAAGAGAGTTGTTGAGACTGGAGAAGGAGTCTCTTATATCCGGGTTTGGTCTATTTTGTTTAGATAACACAGGCTCTAATTTGGGACCAGAGAAAATCTCTCTTATATCCGGGTTACACTGTACTGATTAAATACATTTATTAAATCTGACTTGTTAAGTAACAACAAATTTTAAGCAAATTTCAAATAATTTTTAATTAAAAAAAAACAAAAAAAACATGGTTACAGTAAAATGTGAACAATATTTTACAGTAACAGATTATTTCTTCATTTAAAAACTAAAGTGAATATTAATCTTAGACACATTCCATGACAAAACCCTATTTTCATTAACCATAAATTTACGGTGCTCGGTAAAAATGGCAACGGTAAAAATGGCAAAAGTGGATAAATAGGAAAAAATGGCAATTCGACAACAGAAAATTATGACCATCCCTCTAGTTTAAAATAGAGCTAAGTCCCCCACTCAATATTTTAAAATAAATATTTTTAAATAGATATTTACTCTAGTGGGGGGGGCAAAAGGCTCCTTCTCCTCTTGTTTTAAATAGGGGTTAAGTTCCTGCTCCTAGTATTAAAAACATTTTTTTTTAAATTTTCAATGATTTTTATAAGTTTTATGGGGGGGGCTAGGTTCCTACTCCTAATTGCAGTAAAAGCACAAATCATAGTTTAAGTGAATTTGATGACTATAATGAATTTTATAATTGATAGCTGACATTAGGATTAGATGTGTGTGTAAAACAAAGTATAATATTTTTCTCTCAATAAATCCACATTACAACCAAAAACGTTTG